ACTCACCTCTCTCTTTTATATCCCAAAAGAAACCAGCTCAAGACACAATCCAATCCCATTGATTGAGTCCTGCCTCATCAACACAACTGCCGCCCATCCCCCCTCATTAACATCATAGAGGCAGGATTTACAACACATAGAAAAATCACATCAAATGACAAAATGGTGGACAATCACACAATATCTGGAATCATTTATGACCCAGCCAAATTGATACACACATTTTGGGGGACATAATTCAATCCATGACAGGGGGACAATGGGAGTAGTTTAGAAGGGGGAAAAACATAATAATTATTAAAACTGTTATCAAAGCCAAGGAAGGCACGAGGTAAGGAAACCAAGGAATCTTGTTCTGGAGACTTGGGCAGAAGCTGTCTACTTTTGTGATGTCATCTATAGCTGCTTCCTGAAAGGCAAAAAGGTGCCAAGCAGGAAGTCATTCCATTGCCCATATGGATGACTTAGAAAAGCCCTTCTGGAAATCTGCCCATGCTCAGCCCACTACCTTCCTCCTCAACCTCTCCTTGAAGGAGCCAAGCTGCTGCTGATGTAATTGCTAACGGGTGCTTCTGCAGACACTGCTCCGACCAGGCCAGGTTAAGTGGGCCTTTCTGTGTGGGCACAGACACTCAGCAGCTAAGTGAACTATGAGATAGGGGCAGCAGCATGGGACATGGGAGAAGGCAGGAACCAGGTGGACTCAGTGGGTAGAAAAGGGGAGGGAAGAAGACTACTAGTTAGAGGAACACTTCCTGGCTCTGCCAGTCGTTCTCCTTCTGTGTGGAGTGAGAGGCCTAGCACTGAACTCTATGCCAGGTAGGTCCTTGTTGAGAACGTGAGGCTGCACAGCCTCAACAGGGAGCCTAAGAAAAGGACACTCACTGAGAAAATGACTATGTCTATTGCCACCAGAGACAGAACTGGTCTCAAGACTTGTGGAGGGTTCCCTTGGCAAACCTGGAATTTAGGTTCCTCCCATTTCCCACTTAAGCAATTCCCCAGTGCTCAAACTCAACACTAAAGATAACACAGGAAAACTTTATTAACATGTCACAGAGTCCCTTTTCACTAGGAGACTCAAGGGTGGTTTCTGAAATCTCCAGTTCAGTCCCAAGTGGAGTTGCACAGAGCTCTTTAACCTCACCTGCTTCTTGAAATTTTGCTGCCTTCCGCCAGGCAGCAGATGGTCCAGCAGGACATATCTGGGCACAAATGGCATAAAGCTCTTCCTTCCTTCCCCTCTTCCTGTACATCATCAGAAAGGAAGTGTTAAAAAGCCATGGGAGTATGCATTTGAGATCTGCTAAGGGTGAGCAGGTCTGGGGATTTAGGCCTGGGCCTTAGGCACATCCTGTGGAGCAGTGATGCTCACTGCACTCAGAGCTCCCAGCCCAGCAGACTGGAATCCAGCCCCTGACAGCGGTCTGCTTCTGTCACTACCCAGCTGTGTGGCCTTTCTCTTCGGGAAATTACTCTCTCTTCTGTTTTTCCATCTGAACAATGGGGCAAGCAAGGGTTGGTGTGAGAATTAAATGAAGTAATAAATTCTAGATTGAAGCAAACATTTAATTAAAATAGCCAAATCAACTAAAAGGGTAACTTAATGTCTGAAAGCACAGTGCAATTTTTACTCAAGAACTGTGTCCTTTCACCAGTTGCCCAGTCAGTTGCCCCAAACAAAACAATTTATCCTTTACTCCTTCCCATCTCCCCCATCCCCTAAAAGCAAAAACAGCCAGGAGCTGCAGACAGATAACTTCCACAACAGCTATTACTTATATGTGCCAGGTGCTGTTTAGAGAACTTCACACTAACTTATTTAATTCTTACCACTCTATCAGATTTAGTAGATATCTAATATTAATACATATTTAATATTTAACAGAATTATTTAGTAGACCTCTGAGATCTATTCCTCCATATTACAGTTTGGAAAGGTTAGGTCACTTGCCCAAGGACACACAGAGATCAGTGGTCTGCCTCCAGAGCTCACACTATTAACTTCTAAGCTGCGCTGCCGAATTCAGTTGCAGAAATCCCAAAGTAGGTATAGAACAAGTGTCCAAGCTGGCATTTCCTAATGACATAAACAAACTCTCAAACAGCAGGAAGGGATTCTGCACTGCACAGCCCTGAGGCGGTGCTCCAGAGAGGGCCTTTCCCAGATACCCTCGCCTGCCAGGAAAGGCCAACCTGCACCTTCAAAAGAGCATCTAGGCCAAAAGGTAAAAGGAAACCAACTGACCAGCTGGCCCTCCTCACAGCCAGGCTTAGTCACCTCCACTCCACAGCCTCTCTGCTGCTCCATGTCCACTCCCAGCAGGCACTGTGGAGGGCTATTAAAAGAGAACACATTAAACAACAAAAATGATCTTTACGATACATTAAAAACTGGGCTGAAAAGAGGGCTTCTATGAAAAGGGGAAACCTATAGGTTGATTTCACCTGCCAAGTGCCACAACACAGCCTTGTTGGGACCACGCGTGCCTCTGGGGCTCTGCAATGGGCAGATCCTCTCTCTGGCTGTGCCTCCTGCCTAGCCCCTGCTGGCTCACCTGCGTAAGTTCATGTTGCTGGCAGGTTCTGTCTCCGCTCCCATCTCTAGTGTGGTTTGATCACTGAATTCACACTGGTCCTTTATCAGTTTGGCTTTGCCTCTTCCATAAATGCTGAGATTTCAGGGACTGTTTTCCATAGTTTTCTTTAGTGCAGTACTTTTCTAGGTGGACAGTTTCTGATGCGGTTTCCTCTGATTCAGGTGCAGAAAACACCATCTTGACCCAACCCCCAAAGAAGGTGTTCTCACGAGGGCTTTGATACACAAAGACGAGATTCAGTTAGGACCTAAGAGCTTCCATGGCTACAGACACAGGGTCCAGGATCCAGAAGTAGATTTGTCTAAGGCAGCATAGAGGTGGGAACAGATGTTTCTAAGATGCACTATCAATAGTTTTAAGTTCTCTGAGTAGTACTACTCCCTGACAAATACATCAGCAGGTAATCCTGCTAGAGAAATATTGATCAACCTTGCTTTATTCCAGAAAGAATTACAGAAAGACTGCTTAAGAAACCACAAGAAGGGAGCATAATTTAAAAGTGGAAGTCTTTCTCTAAAGCCTGGGCTCAAACCACTTTTATTGCCTCAGGACTTTTCAGATACCTGAGTCAGTGGACTGCAGGTAATTTTATCACTCTTCTCTGAATATTGTTTCTCTCAACTAAATTTTTATCAAAACTGGGTGACAGAATTTTCAAACTTGGTATTCCCAGACAAGTACCAGAAAAGCAGCTACTCCAAACTGCCAGTTGAGTACAGAAAATAAAGCCTCAGCAGATGGGTGAGCTGGAAGGAGGGATACTCTCTTCCTCTAGATTGAGGAAGTCACAAGGATGGCTGCCACAGACCTACACCACCTCCATATAGAATGGAGGCGTGCAGAATCAAGACATCATAAATGTATGGGTTTGGGGCACCCACTCCATGCCCTCATGTTCACTGTGTTCAACTCAACTTCTCCTTATTATCCTGTGGAGACTGAGGAACCTACCCTAACAATAAACCCCTCTCCTTGCTCTAATACCATGACTTTCATAAGAACAGAAGAATTCTTGCTCTGGTTATTCTTGTTGGGGAAAAGGGAACAAGGGGTGATGGGAAATAACTATTTAGAGCACATACCCTTAAGACCAATACAGGTTAAAGAAAATCCTTACAGCAGAAACAGCCAATTAGCAAATTCACTGATTATTCCTCTATTTACATTTGTATACTCAATAATTTGCTAGGTTATGGCTTGAATACAGATGTCAACCCATGAATGTGTGGGCTGGTTCATTTTCATTTTAAGAAAGACATAATGTGAAATTTAAAAATATTCATGGAAACATAAAGCATTTGTTTATTATTGCTATAATCAAGGCAAAATCTCTTAAACAATTAGCCTTGGTAACAGAAGTATAATCAGAACCATTATCCATGAATTTACAATTTGTTCTTCCCTGCTGTTCAGACGTAACTGTTTCACACATTAACATCTACCACAAGAACTTTATTATAGAGAGGAAGCGAAAAGAAATTGAAAGTCACTAAACAAGCTTTAACCACTTCCTTAGTTACCTGACAATTACATTCTCTGAGCCTTTTTAGGAAACCCTGGTGGCGTAGTGGTTAAGAGCTACGGCTGCTAACCAAAAGGTGAGCAGTTCAAATCCACCAAGCGCTCCTTGGAAACCCTACACAGGGCAGCTCTACTCTGTTCTACAGTGTTGCTGTGAGTCAGAATCGACTTGATGGCAAGAGGTTTGATTTTTTTGTTTTGAGCCTTTTACATGTGTTAAAAGAAAAAGAGGTGAGGGGGAGGAAGGGAGAGAACAAACCTACCCACCTGGAGGATCAACTGAGATAACACACGTGATAACTGAGATAACAAATGAAACTGCACTGTAAACTCTGATACAAAATACAGTATCATCAACAACAGTGCTTATAACCCCTTCCAAGGAGGGACAAGATCATCACTCAACATTCTATGCTCTTGGCAGCCTGCATGACAGTGCTCAAGAATCAAATCCTGGGGCAGGTCAAAAGATATCAATGACCAAGTCTCCAAACTCACTAAAGAACTATCAGGGCTTGACAAGCCACTTAACATGGATTCAACTGTACCCTAGAAATACTTGGTCAGTTTTATTTTACCTTTATATACATTTTGTACAGGCAATAATAAAAAGGCTGTTACACAACAATTCAATGAGTTTACCTAGTTTCAAAAATAATGCATGCAGTTACAAATTGAGAGGTAGAAACACTGTATTAAAGACCTAAAAATACAAACATCATACAAATAAATGTTCAAATTAACTGCTGGAATTTCATACAGATAAATAAGACAAAAATTACATTACTTTGTCAAAGTAAAGTAAAAATAATTTTTGTTGCTGTTTGTTTTTTTATCAGTACACTAAAATTAGATTAATGCCAAAGAGCTTCTGTGTAATTTTTTTTCAGGTTATAGTATCTAAAAGGATTAAAATAAAAGGATTAAAACTGGAGAATGGTTTATTTAAGTATTCAAGCACATAAGTAAAAGAAACAAAATAATATACATTGTTGAAACATTTCTGGAGGGATGTTAACCGCCTGCATTCTCCATGACTACGTATTTGGTGAAATGTCAGGATTAACATGAAAAACACTCATCAGGCTGTAGAAAGCTGCCCATTTTCCTAACAGAATATCAACTTCATTTTTCACTACCTTTATGTAGAAACTCCACATTACTAACAAGCATTTAGGTCACCACTTTGTTTTGGCCCTATTAAAATTCTTTGGAGTCTCTCTTGATGTATATTTGTTTTAACACTGCCCAAATAAACCTACTAGCCTTCAGTAAATTTAGAGGTCACAGGCATCAATGCACATTCTGCATGCACAATAAAAAAGGCAACCAAAAGCAAACAACCAGCAACTCAAAACATTACTGAGAAAAATTTGTAGTTGTAGATGAATAGGTTAAAAAAAATGCAAAGGTTTACATGAATACAAGTTTTTTGTTTTTTTTAACCTTTAAAAGTCCACTAGAGATTACACTTGAATTATGGAAAGGGTATACGTACATAATCAAGTAAAATATTTTAAATAAGCCCACTGTGCCACATTTATTTTTAAATTTCAAAATCCATTACACAGTTGTTTTTAATAAATTAGTGCAATACGAAATATTCTGGAAGATTAACATGTGTTCACATAAGAGCAAATTGAAGGTGTCAGAATTTCTTCCTAGAGCCATCATTTGCTTCTTCTTAAGCTACTGCTTGCTGAGCTGTTTTAGGATACATGCTAAGATTTAGACAAACTTACCCCAGAAATCAAACTGCCTGGCTGAGATGTAGATTATTTCACTTTTATATCTCAGTAATTTTCTAGTAGTTTGAAACAAGCAAACTAAACAACTTGTCATCATTCTCATCCACATGGAATTCACATATTGCTCTGGTGAAGTGAGTGAAGGGTCACTCACTTTGTTGCATTCTTAACTCTCCTTAAGAATAACTGTACTGGTAATTCTAGTTCTAAGGTACATTTACTTACCATGTTCAAACTGAGAGCCAAGTAGAATATTCCTGCTTTTGCTTCCACAAAGAAAAAGGGAAGGGGTGATTTCTCTGATAAGGCAGATTTCCTACAAATGTGTAGTTTTGGGATTGTTTTTCCTTTTTGAAACCACTCTGTGTTCTTTGGTAGTCACCAGTTAAGAAACTACAGTTTCCTGGGGATAGGGCAACAGAACCCAAGCTGAAATCCCAAACATTCCCACTGACTGGTCCACGGGACAAGCCTGCTACTGCTCACATCGTCACAGTGCTATAGCAGAGTGTTGACAATCTTCTTTCAACACTAGACTTATCTAGAAATAAAATAACAAAAATTAAATTCATAATAAAAGTCATTTATATTTTCCAGACCAAGGACAGAAGAAGTAATGAATATTTTTTTGAAAATCACTCTACCTACCTCCTCTCTGTTCTACCTTTGCCCCAAAGTAACAGTCCTGAGTAATGTTTCTTCCTTCTGCCTGATAATAGTTTAGATATGGTTTCTAGCTTACTGCTGCAAAGTAGTACAATTTACATAAGCATGTCAAATAAAGAACATTTAGATTTTAACAGTCTCCTCACAATTGCAAATAATTTTAGGCTTGCCATCCCCTTGTGGCTATTCAAAAATGTAATACACCACATACACTACAAGGGGTCCACCACCACTTCCTCAGATTACTGGGTTTATATTTGATAAGTAATAATATTATCCTGGCATCCAATCAATCTCAACTCTGCTATCTATACCAAATTTCCAGTACATCAGGTCTATCTTTTTTAGTCACTAAGCCAATGAGGCTTTAAAAAGTTGCATTTAATAATAATAAAAACAAAGTGTTTCTATAGACACGAACACATGCCCACCAACTTAGTACTGCAGTGTAGGAATCTAAAGACTAGCAAGAAAAGCTATCAGTACTTTACATACATTACCTCTAATACTCACAACAACTCTGCAAGGTAGGCTTTTTATTTTTTATTTTATTTATTTATTTATTTTAATAATAACTTATGTGTTTATCTTTTTGAAAAATATTTCATTTTTTTGTTGTTGAGAATACACATAGCAGAACATACACTAATTCAGCAACTTCTACAAGTACAATTCAGTGACACTGATTACATTCTTCAAGTTGTGCAACCATACTCACTCTCCTTTTAACACAAACTCATTGCTTCCTAAATTTCCTATCTACTCTTTTGAGTTGCTGTTGTCATTTGATCCCATAAAGATATTTCTTTAAAACAGCACAATGTTCAAGGCAGACATTCTTTACTAATTAAGCTAAACTACTGTTTGGTTTAAAGAAGACTTCAGGGGATATTTTTGGTTTAATATTTAAAGATTATTTTAGGGGTTCATCTAGCCTCAAAGGCTCTAGAAAGCCTGGATTCCATGAGAATTTGAAATTCTCTTCTTCATTTTCCCCCTTTTGATCAGGATGCAAGGTAGGCTTTGTTATCTCCATCTTATAGACAGAGAAACTGAGACCACAGAAAAGTTAAATAATTTACTCAAGGTTGGAAGGCCCAGATTCAAACCTATACCTGTAGGAGACAACTAAGTAACAATCAAGAAATACAGTACTTTATAAGTCAACTTACATTTATGTACATTTTCAATATCTGCAGGATCCCGTAAAATCTTTGTTAGTCCTTCCAAAAGAAGGGCTGCCTTATGATAGCGATAAACAATATCTTCAGTCTGCTGAAACATCTCATCCAAGGCTGCAGACTGAACCTGGAGCCAGTCAACAAAAATGAGAAGATTCTCAACTTTTTTTAAGAAAATGGTAACTCATTTGAGCAATGTAGCTTTAAATGGAATATACCTAGAATTAACACAAACTATATGGAGACCTGGTAGTGCAACGGTTAAGTGCTCAGCTGCTAACAAAAATGTTGGCCATTCAAATCCACCCAGCAGCTCTGCAGGAGAAAGACCTGGTGATCTGCTTCTGTAAAGATTACAGCCAAGAAAATCCTATGGAGTAGTTCTACTCTGTCACGTGGGATCACTATGAATCAGAATCAACTCGACAGCACCCAACAATAACAACAATCTTAAAAAAGTCAAAGATTCATCAGGATGAAAAATATAAAGGAGTTTCTTGACAAAAGAGTTATTCTGTGTTTAAACACAGCCTTGTCATATTCAGAGAACTCTGAAATTCATGACTCATAAAATTTATACTGTCTCTTTCAAAAATTAATTTAAAGCCGCTTACAACAAGGTAAACTAAATGGATACAGAAAACCAGAGTCATGAAAAGGAAGGAGAAATAAATAAACATATGTGCTATACCACAAAGCTTGCTAAACAACCAGGGCAAAGGGAGGAGCTTATTGAAGTCACATGGCTCTTATCAGAAAGGAAGGAAACATCATAATTCCCTCTGAGAAGACATTTTCCCAGGCACAAAATTCTAAAAAAAATTGATCATATACAGTCTTAATCTGGTATAGAGTAATACAACGTATATTACTCACATCAATAGTGATATAATGTATATCATTTTTGTCAACAGTTTATATGCCAAAGTTATTTTCATGTGACTGTATTATAATGACTTTCAAAAAAGGCTGAGGATATAACTTAACAGTACATTTTAAAGAAGACAAACTTGGGAGGAATCTATTATGTTAATGTGGTACAAATGAGATTGGCCAGTAATGTTTTTCCCCATTTAACCATTTCTTTAACAGTCTCTATTTTTATCTGTGGAGCCCTGGTGGTGCAGTGGTTAAGAGCTTGGCTGCTAACCAAAAGGTCAGTAGTTCAAATACACCAGCTGCTCCTTGGAAACCCTATGGGGCAGTTCTACTCTGTCGTATAGGGTTGCTAAGGGTTGGAATTGACTCGACAGCAATGGGTTTTTTTTTTTTCTTTTGGTTTATTTAAATCTATACTTTAGAGCAAGTTTTCCCTCGATAGAGACAGCAAGTAAGTTATTTCCAGTAATACTGTTGTTATATGTTGTCGAGTCCATTCTGACTCGTAGCAATTGTACAGGATAAAACAGAACTGCTCCATTAGGTTTCCAGTACAAGCAGACAGTTGGAAAAGTAGATTTTACTTTGTATCTATACTTAACTAAGGTCAGTAAGTGGAACTGGAGCACATGAAATTTATAGATAGGTTAACAAAGTAGCATTTTTTCTAGTAGCTTTATCAGGACAAAATTTCTTAACTATCCAGTGCTCCTTCCAGATAGTCAGGGAATTAGCACCTTTCATTGAAGAACCCTTATTCCCCCCCACCAATTTGAAATGCCACTTTAACATAAATCACATTTTTGTAGGCATTTAAACCTGCTTCGGGACTCTCCATCCCAGTGGTTCTCAATCCTGGCTGCACATGAGAAACATCTGGGGCATTTAAAAAAATCATCAATGTTCAGGTCCACCCTGCTGGATCAGAACCTCAGGGGGCAGGCAGGGTCCAAGCACTGCTTTGATTTCAAAGCATTTTGGGTGATTACAAGTATAGCCAGGACTGAGAACCCCTGCTTTAGAGTATTCCATTGACTCATCTAGCTCTTTCTTCTTCTCTACCAAACTGTGTTTTATAGGGTTGGCGCCTTGTCATTCCTCTTCTTTTTCTTGGCCATTCTACACATATGTATTTTTCCAGATGAACTTTTTCTCTCATTCTGTCAGTTCAAAGAAAAAAACAAAAACAAAAACCTGTTGTGATTCTAATTTGGGCTACACTGACCTTACTTTCAGCCAACAAATCTACTATGTGCCAGGCACTGTTCTAGGCAGTGGGGACACAGAGGTGAACAAAGAAAAAAAAGAAAAATTTCCTAAACAGCAGAAACAGATCCAGCTAAAGCTTTCAGATGCAAACTACAAAAAGATTAGATCATGCCTATTGTTAGCAAATTTTAAGAAGAATCATCAAATTTTACCAAATGTGATAACCAGATTTATAAATGACATTAAATGTTACGTAAATATTATAAAGGATTTAGGAGGTAATCCACAATACTTGGGATTTAGGGGTGATAGGGCATAAACTTTTAAAGACGAATAAATGGTGTCAATTCAAAAAATACTTTTAGAGATAACTAGTACTATACAACATTAAATCTTAAAAAAAGGTACCATTTCTACAGCACAATTATAGATGAGTTTCTCTGCAGTTACACTGTTGATTTCATCAATAAATCTCTGTTTGTCAGAGAAGAAGCGATTCAGCTTTTCTGTAAGTTTCTTGCACATGGTGATGCAGAATTTATATTGTTCATTCAGACTTCTGACAACTGAAAAAAGTTGAGATGGGAATTAATTTTAGTTTTTCTTCAGAAATAAAAACACAGTGGCATGTACTTTCCTGCTGATATAAGGAAAGTGACACTAACTGATCACTGGAAAGAAATTACTGGACATCAGATTCTTTCATATGTTCTCTTTTTCAGTTAAAAAAAGATTGAGAATAAAGTACTCCTCACTTTTCTCCATAATTAAATGGTAAAACAAAAACAAAAACAAAAACCCCCAGCATCTTTTCCCTTTTGATTAAGAGTATTTAATAATATAGTGATTCCTTATCAAAAAGTTTCTTTGTTGGCATAATGAGAATAAGGGTAACCTGCGTATCCCGGGGTCACACTGGCCATGCTCACCCATACCTTGTTTCACAGCTGTGGAAGGGCTCAGCTTCCCGGACTTGATCTGAGCTTTGGCGAGATGCAGAGAAGCTGCCAGCAGCTGTGCTGCTTTCATGTATAATACCAACTGTTCCACCCGCCTGTACCAAGAAGAGGAAGAGAGTCATCTTGAGAACTAGCCTGCTAGTATGGACTCTCCTATACATCAAGTCACCATGAAAACAGTCATTGTAAGCGATACTGGGGCCCTGGTGGTGCAGTGATTAAGAGGTATGGCTGCTAACCAAAAGGATGGCAGTTCGAATCCACCAGCCACTCCTTCGAAACCTTAATGCACAAATAAGTCCTGAAGGGAGAGGATTTGACATGGAAAAGGATGTGTGTACTTTGAAAATAACAAATACACTCATAAAAACCAATAGTTACTTTATCATCAAATATCTTCAACAATATAATTTACAGGGGAAAGGCAACACTACTGTTACAGAATCTCAAACTTGTGCCTCATACATTGAAATCTAGTATAATTTAATAATTAAGATACTCCCCTGAAGCTTTTAATAATGAAATATGATCTTCAGTGGGTGACAATCCCTACATCTCACACAAGTTTACAGAAAGCATGAAGAATTTGGAAATGAATGACAAATAAGGCACCTACCCCCAGTCTTTGCTCAGCTGGCTGATATGGTCCACAACCACACTCTCCTGAATCTGGTACAAGGAGACAGCAGATGTGCACAGCTCTGGGTTTCCTCCCCGCACGGCTGTCAGATCCAGGACACACTCAGTAAACATCAGCATCATATTCAGATGGCGTAAGGTGTCTGTGTGTTCTCGCTGTAGCAAAGTCAATTTTTCTTAAGAAATTTTCAGAATAATCATAATAGGTACATACTCATTTCTGTATATAAACTATAGCCACTACTAATGTTTTTCTATACATATGTAAATCAGAATGAACAAATGAGATTCAGATGTTTAAATTTCAGAAGACTAGTGAGAAAATAAACACAAATGAAACCAAATGTGGGTGTGTGCATATGTTTGTGTATGTATCAGAGCACCCACAAAAGCTTCAAAGATATGAATGAGGTCACTGTTTTTATCAGAAAAAATAAAAAAAACTAAATGATTAAATCAGTATGCATGAGACAAAAACATGACAAAATAGGTATCAATATTAGATAGTTCAGTGAATTCTACTGACTTCTTATAATTTCAGAGATACTGTAATTTCTGATGGTGTTTCAGTTAACTAAATTATTGGAATGAATGCCAAAGCTCTAAGTTTCTGTAACTTCTTCAGGTAACTGAAGAGGAAAGTCTAGGCATATCAGCATTCAGAGAGGTGTCATTTAAAGTTGATATTCTAAAATTAATGTTTTCAGATTTTTTTTTTTTAGTTATATATGTATTTTGAAATCTTACATAAGACTAAAAATTTCTCACCTTCCTTTTATGTTTAAAAAGGATCAAGAATCACATTCCCAGAGACAGGAGAATAAACCAAACAACTTTTAAAAGCCTCTCTACTCTGTGACAGAATATTGGACTCTATGTTCCAATACATTGGATCACATGTAACATATTGAATTTATGTCTAATTTGGAGACCGAAAAAAAATCTGAGGATTGCTTTTCTAATCTTAACCATATCAGACATATTTTCAAAATTACTAAATTATTATTAAATTCACTACTGAAATTTTGCATGCGATGTTTTATAACTTTCATGCGAAATATTTAATTTTTATTCATACAAAATAGAAATTTTAGAGGGCCTACTTGAAGACAGGATTTGTTCTTCAGTTAGCCTGGAGAGTTGATAATTTTAATTTAAAATTCAAGCTAACTCGGCACTGCAGCTAGGGACTGAGGACACGTGAGTCCACTGAAGGTTGTTTCAGAGTCAAGATAGGGAACTGAGTTGGCATAGTCTTTGAAATCATAAAATTAACTTCTCTTGTTCTAAATTTGTGTTTTTCCTGTAGAATTGACTCCAGAAAGGGAAGTCCTATTCTACAAATGGGAGGATCCAGTCTGCTGGACAGATATATTTCTCAGTGTTAATGGTGAGACTGGTTTATTATTTTCTTAAACCTAAGTTCAGGTGTATTATTTTTATCTTATTTAAAAAACAAGCTTTGCGAATAAAAATTTATGGTTTTAGGACAAAGATTATGTTTTAAATGTCCTATAAACAGTAAATAAACTTCAGATAAAAAAATAAAGAACACCCACTTTCATCACTGCTGTTAAACATTACTGGTAATTAGGCAGGAAAAAAAAATAAATGAAAGGCATCCAAACTGGAAAGGGAAAAGTAAAACCATTCAGTTCACTGATGACATGATCCTAAACATAGATAGTTCCAAAGAACCCATAAGAAAGCTACTAAAACTAATAAACGAATTCAGCAAAGTTGTAGGGTACAAGATTAACAAGCAAAAATCAGTTGTGTTTCTATACACAAGCAATGAACAAGCTGAAAGGAAACTAAGCAAACAACCTCATTTACAACAGCATCTAAAAGTATAAAATATCTAGGAATAAATTTAATTGGGAATAAAAGACTGCTACACTGCTGAAAGAAATTAAAGAAGACCAAAACAAATGGAAAGACATGCTGTGTTCACAGATCAGGTAAGTTAATATTGTTAAATGTCAATACTAACCAAAGCAATCTCTAGATTCAGTGTGATCTGTATCAAAATTCCAACAGTCTTTATCGCAGAAATTGAAAAGCTGATCTTCAAATTTATAGGAATTGCAAGGGGTCCCAAAGAGCCAAAACAATCTTGAAAAACAAGAATGAAGTAGACTTACACTTCTCACCTTCAAAACATACTTTAAACCAAACTAAACCAGTTGCCATCAAATTGATTCTGACTCATGGTGACCTCATGTGTGTCAGAGCCGCCATAGTATTTTCAATGGCTGATTTTCAAAAGTAGATCACGAGGTCTTTCTTCTCAGGCACCTCTGGGTGGACTTGAAGCACCAACCTTTTGGTTAGCAGCTATGCATTAACAATTTGTACCATTCAGGGACTCCAAAACATACTATAAAGCTACGGTAATCAAAACAGTGTGGTAGTTATATAAGGACAGACATACAGACCAATGGAATAGAATTGAGAATCTAGAAATAAACCCATACATCTATGTCCAATTGATTTTGAGAAGGCTGCAAGTCTACTCAAGGGGGAAAAAGTAGTCTCTTCAATAAATGGTACTTGGACAACTGGATATCCACATGCAAAAGAATGAAGCTGGACCAATACCTCACATCATATACAAAAACTAACAAAAAATGATCAATGACCTATATATAAGAGCTAAAACCATAAAACTCTTAGAAGAAAACATAGGCGTAAAATGTCAAGATCCTGTTTTTGGGAATGGAATTTTAGATATGACACCAAAGGGGCAAGGAACAAAAGAAATAAACTGGACTCCATCAAAATTAAAAACTTTTGTGTATCAAAGGACATTATCAAGGAAGTCAAAAAACAACCTACAGAATGGGAGAAAATACCTGGAAACTATACATCTGATAAGGATTTAATATCCAGAATATATAAGAACTCCTACAACTCAACAACAAAAAGAGAAACCACCCATTTAAAAAATGGACCAAAAACTGAATAGACATTTCTCCAAAGATATACAAATGGCTAATGAGCACATGAAAAGATGCTCCATACTGTTAGTCATCAGGGAAATGCAAATCAAAACCACAATGAGATACCACTTCACACCCATCAGGGTGACTATTATCAGAAAAAACAGAAACTAACAAGTGTTGGGGAGGATGCCATTTCTGGAGGGAATGTAAAATGGTGCAGCCACTGTGGAAAAGTCTGGCAGTTCCTCAAAAAGTTAAAAATAAAATTACCACATGGCCCAGCAATTTCACTCCTAGGTATTTACCCATAAGACTTGAAAGCAGGGACTCAAATATATACCTGTACACCAGTGTTCACTGAAGCATTATTCATAATAGTCAAAAGGTGGAAACAACCCAAGTGTCCATCAACAGATGAATGGATAAACAAAGTGTGGTCTATACATGCAATAAAGAGAAATGAAGTTCTGATACGTTACAACATGGATGAACCTTGAAAACATTATGCTGAGTGAGATACGTCAGACACAAAAGTACAATATTGTATGATTCCACCTATATGAAATACGTAGAACAGGCAAATGTATACAGACAGAAGTTTATTAGTGATTACCAGGGGTTGGGAAGAGGTGGGGATTTGAGTTATTGCTGAAGGGGTACTGAGTTTCTCTTTGGAGTGATGCACAACTTCTGGAACTGGACAGTGGTGATGGCTGCACAACATGGTGAAAGTAATTAATGTCACTGAACTGTAGACTTAAAATGGTTAAAATGGCAAACTTTCTGTTATATATATTTTATCACAATGCAGCTAAAAAAAATAAAGAAGACAAAATGTGGTGCTTCCTATAAATTAAAGCTTGTTATGGATGAGAATCACTGTCAACATTATTCTGAAAATACATTAGTGATGTTTATCAAATATAAAGAAAAAGTAAGTTAAAGAGAAAAAAAAACTACTCAACAGTATTTTGTTCTTTCATCATCACTAGAACATTCTCATATAGTGTCAAAGATTACATGGGCACAACACAACAGTCTTTCCTCTACCTCCATCAGTGTCTCCTCAGGCAGTTCAGGAGCTTCAAAGGTGATGAGTCCCTCTAAGCTGGGGGATGACGCACCATAAGGCATGTACCTCAGGCTGGGAGCTGCCTCTGCTTGTGGAGGGGAGGATCCCGAACACACGCCAGGTGGGGAGCCCATACAAACATGGTCGCTCACAGAGCAGAGGGAGCCTCCAGAGCTGCTGGACCCTGCTGGAAGGAAACAGAACACACGGAGCGGTTTCCTGAGTTAGTTCTTGAAGTTAGGGGCTTTTGCACCCACTTCTACTTTTATTTATTGAATAAAATCTATTACTAATAAAGAAAAAATTTTAAAAGTCAGTGATCTCCTATTTGACCATATCGATAATTTTTATTTCTCCATGCTCACCCATCTGTCAGTTTGTTGTGCTGTGGTGGTTTACATGTTGCTGTGATGCTGGAAGCTATGCCACTGGTATTTCAAATACCAGCAGGGTCACCCATGGTGGATAGATTTCAGCAGAACTTCCAGACTAAGACAGACTAGGAAGACAGGCCTGGCAAGGCAATCTACTTCTAAAAATTAGCCAGTGAAAACCTTACGGATCACAACAGAACACTGTCTGACTTCCCTGCTTTGGCCATGTCATCAGGAAGGATCAACTGTTGGAGGACGACATTGTGTCTGGTGAAGTAGAGGGCCAGCAAGGGCGAGAGAGATCCTCGGTGAGATGAATTGGTATGATAGCTGCAATGATGGACTTGAACATGCCGGTGATTGTGAAAATGACGCATTTTATTTTATTGTACATAAGGTCGCCATGAGTGGGTGCTGACTTGATGACAGCCATCATCATCATCACATGCAGATTTTACAGTCATCATCATAGCTATCCTTTTTACACTGTTTTATACAAATTTATATCATATACATTTCTCCATGTTGCTCCATAGTCTTCATAATTATAAAACTTAATACATGTTAGTGGGTCATTAAATCTATGTATGTAATTTCCTTAGCTAGCTCTCTAACTTGGGGCATTTATACTATGTCTAATTTTACAAATTACAAATAACACTGAAATGAAATACACAGTTTTCCTCCTTTCTTTTGAATGATTTGTAATAAATACTCCAAAGTAATATAAACAGGAATGGGATTACCACTGGTTAAATATTATAAACATTTTTATAGCTCTTCCTAAAAATTGCCACACTGCTTTTTAAAGCAGCAGCGAGTAAGCACACGGATCCCACTACAGCCTCAACAACACTGGGTGTTATACTTTTTTAAAAGTTGGCTTAGTTAATAGACATAAAATGTTACTTCCTTAAAATGGTATTTTCTTATGTAAAATGGTATTCTATTATTTCTTATATAAGAGTTTTGATAATCTTAAAAGTAAGATTATTAGCTCTACTTCCTGTCCTGCTTCCTACTTATATTCTTTGATTATTAATTTATTGATATCTTGAATAGTAACTTTTAGCATAAGAGAACTTAAAGGACACAAGGTACAATATGTAACATGATATCAAATGATAACTGATTTCCAGTTCAATCTAAATACTTTTTAAATTATTTTTGATATTAATAACCTACTTAAAGAGTGCTGTTGTTGTTAGTGGCCATCGAATCAACTCTGACTCATGGCCACCTTATGTACAACAGAACAAAATGTTGACCAGTCCTGTTGACCAGCCAGCATTTTGAGTCCATCACTGTGGCTACTGTGCCAATCCACCTTACCCAGGGTCTCCCATGCCCTCACTGGCCTTCTGCTTCACCAAACACAACGTGCTCCTCTAGTGATTGAGTCTTCCTGATGACATATCCAAAGCAAGTGAGTTAGATAATATTTTGTGAGATTCATAAGGTTCTCACGGCTAATTTTTGGAAGCAGATCACCAGGCCTTTCTTCCAAGTCTGTCTTAGTCTGGAAGCTCCACTGAAACCCATCCACCATGGGTGATCCTGCTGGTATTTGAAATAACAAAGGCACAGTGTCCAATACCATAGCAACGAGCAAGCCACCACAGTATGACAAACTGATAGAAGGGCAGAGTTATTTATAGAGTATGGATGAAAGAAAACCTATTAAACTGTCTAATTATGTACAGGATTAAGTGCAAAGATTGGGACTCAAAGTACAAAAACAACAAAAATATACCAAAACTCCTATTATCTTAAAAAAACTTACTGGATCTACTATAATACTATAATAAGCCTTCAATATAATCTGAGAAGCACTATATGTGCATAGCTGCTTCATCATGGGGAATTCACAGTTATATTACGATACTATAATACTACCCTTTATATAAAAGTACAATATACACATATATATTATATAGCACTTTTACTTATCAAAAAGTTTTAAATAAACGTTGTCTCATTTACTTCTTCAAACCCATTAAGGTAAAGAAAAGAGTTACCTCCATTTCACTGGCAAAAAAACTGAAGCCCAGAGAGGTTAAGCGACTTATCTAAGTCACAGTACTTAGATAGTCATTATCAGTCATTATCAGAACATCACACTCCTAATACTAGCTGAAGGTCATAATAACACCTTACCTGAAGTTGTTCTTGTTCGAAGGACCATATGGGTACAAGTGGGGGCCGTGGCACTATGTGGAGGTGATCCTACAGTGAACAGGACAGTCCTAGAAGTTGCTGTTGCTGCTCCTATAGGAGGTGTCAGTACAGCGCCACAGGGTCCTGCAGGAGCTACAATAAAAAGTTCACAAAATGGTACATTACCTCGATAGTGTTTATCTCCGGGGGTGGGATTACAGTAAGGCTTTCATTTTTATATGAGGTATTTTTTCAAAACAGCATTTATTATTCTTAAAATCAGAAAATTCAATACAGTATATCCATTAAAAATATTTCATACATAAACATGGATGTACATGTGGTTGGACATTGCCCAAACGGACTTCATATGATGCATAACTGTATATAGAAAACTTCTACAAATAAACAACAAAAAGACAACCTAATCAAAAACTGGGCAGAGGATATGAACAGATACTTAACCAAAGAGGCTATTCAAATGGAAAGATGTGGAAAGATGTTCAATGTCATTAGCTATCAGAGAAACGCAAATCAAAACCACAAGATACTATTTCTCTCCCACTAGGATGGCAAAGATTTAAAAAAAAACCCGAGAAAATAACAAGTATTGGAGGGGATGTGCAGAAACTGGAACCCTGATCCACTGCTGCCGGGAATGCAAAATGGTACAGCCGTTGTTGAAAACAGTCTGGCAGTTCCTCAAAAAACTAGAGGTAGAGCTGCCATCTGACCCAGCAGAGATCGAGCTATATGGAAGAGTAGGTACAAAATCCCCCACCTGCCAAGCCAAGAAGAATCAGTAAAAGTTATTCAAAGCATTTTCACACCCAAACATCTGAAAAACACTACACTTCTGAGACCACAGAATGGAGGCAGGCATCAATAACACACATCATAAATTTAAAATAAGACACACTGAACCAGATACAGGAAAAAAAATGCCTCTTAGCATCCACCTACTCTGCAACAGAGCAAAACAAAGGTAAACATTCTAACTAAAACAGTGGAAGGCAGAGTTCATAAACATCTCATCTGGAGCAAGGGGACAGTAAGCAGAAATTAATTACTGATTAATTTTAATTAAGTACTGATCCCTGGGTGATGCAAACAGTGAAGAGCTGGGCTACTAACCAAAAGGTTGGTTGTTCGAACCCACCCAGAGACGCACTTCAGAAATAACACCTAGCAGTCTGCTTCTTGAAGGTCACAGCCATGAAAACCGTATGGAGCACAGTTCTACTCTGACACACAAGGGGTTGCCATGTTAACTCAACAGCAACTCGTTTATTGTTACATAAGATATATAAAATGACACAGATATTCTATTTGATATAATATCTTTATGATTTTATTTTAGCAGGTATAAAAGTATTTAAGGATCCTCGTGGTTATATTGTAAGACCCAGTCATGTGAACTATCTTTTCCCTAAGGTCTTAAGTTTCTTCATCAATAGTTTTTATTTTCAGGAACTGAAACTTCATACTAATGTCAAAGAGAAACATTAGAAAGGAGGTGGGACCAAGATGGCAGAGTAGTCAAACACTACTTGTGGTCCCTCTTAAAACAAAGACCCAAAAAAAGCAAGTGAATCGATTATATATGACAATCTAGGAGCCCTGAACATCAAAGGCAAGTTGAGGAATCGGACTGAGCAGCAGAGGGAGGGAGAGACAGTTTGGAAGCAGCGAGGAGATGCCAGACCTGACCTGGCAGGAACCAGCACCCTGCAGGCTGGATCGGCTGGTGTGCACAGTGAGGAAAGCAGTGGCGCTCGGTATGCGTATTCCACATTGGGAGATACCGAGTGGTGGAGTCTACTGAAGCCTCCAGAACCAGTGAAAAGTGGTGCTCGATCGGCAAAAGATAAGTACATGCGTCTAACCTATCACGTGGATAAAAAACACCCCCTTTGGGAAGAAACTCTCTCCCATTTACCTGCCCCTCCCTGCTCTGAACTAGGTCCTGGGCTGGCTTCAGTGAATTGCCACATCCCCGAGCCGGAAGTAGGATGCGTCGCACACCCTGAGCCATTCTCTAGGCTTTAGAAAGGGAATAAATTAACAAACAGGAAAAAATAATCTGCCAGGTCCCCTAAGCCGGAAACCCAGGGAAGGTACAGCCCCTTTGCCTAGGCACAGGCATAGGGGGTCCACAGACTTCGAATGCCTTTCACCCCTGCACAGACTTTTGTGGGCCCATTTCAACAGTGTAAGCCCTCATTAGCACAGTACAACAGAGTATATACCTAAAGCCTATTTTCAACTGTATTGGCTATAAGGTGGAGTGGCACATTTGTGACACCTGACACCCTTCTGCCCATTAAGCAGGGTCCTCACCTACCCACATCAGGGGCTGGAGGACTGGTGGCTCCACCAATGCCATCTAGCCACCCGTGACAGGGGTCCATGAATTAAGTGGTGCCTCCCAGCCTTCCAGTCCTTACAGCCAACAGCATTGGGTTCCCATAGTCCGGCTGGAAAACTCACCCACCTACATGCTCTAGGCAACAGGGACACACTTTCCTCCCAGGTACTCAGGGGCAGCCGTCAGCCCCCTTCCTTGCTCAGCACGTGATCACCTACAGCCAGATACCTGTGCCTATTCTGATCACCCCTGCTCATCTAGGACTGTAGATGAGAGCCTGCACCACACACTTGGTGACTGACTACCTGGACATCTAAGCTGAATCCATACAAGAAAAGTAAACAGATTCCTGGGCTCACATATCTAGTAACAGCTCTATCCACCTACTGACAGGATGTAAGTGCTTCAAAGGCTCCAATAATCAAACTAGCTTACACGAGTAGCCTATTTGGGACTATCAAAACAAAACAAGAAGCTAGGACACAGTAAGCAAACATAAAATAAACTAATAACTTATTGATGCCTTGGAGACAAGAGTCAATATCAAATCACATGAAGAAGCAGGCTACGATGGCTTCAGCAAGCACCCAAAACAAAGAATCAAGAAACCTTCCGGAGAAAGAGAACTTCTTGGAATTACCAGAGGTGGAATTCAAAAGATTAATATAAAGAACTCTTCAAATATATCATGAAGGAAATCAGGCAAAACGCAGACAGAGCCAAGGAACATACAGACAAAGCAACAGAGAAAATTAAGAAGGTCATACAAGAGCATAATGACAAATGTAACAAGCTGCAAGAATCCATACAAAAGAGAGCAAACAGAAATCCAAAACATTAACAATAAAATTTCAGAATTAGACAACTCAGTAGAAACTCATAGGAGTGGAATTGAGGCAATGGAAGTCAGAATTAGCGAGACTGAAGATAATGCACTTGACACCAATTTATTTGAGGAAAAATCAGATAAAAGAATTAAAAAAAATGAAGAAATCCTAAGAATTATGTGGATCTCTATAAAGAAGAATAACCTATGAGTGATTGGAGTACCAGAACAGGGGCGGATAACAGAAAATACAGAGAGAATTGTTGAAGGTTTGTTGGCACACAACTTCCCTGATACTGTGAAAGATAAAAAGGTATCTATCCAAGAAACTCATCCAACCCCACACAAGGTAGATCCCAAAAGAAAGTTACCAAGACATATTATAATCAAACTTGCCAAAACCAGAGATAGAAAGAGAATTTTAAGAGCACCTAGGGATAAATGAAAAGTCATCTACAAAGGATAGTCAATAAGACTAAGCTCAGACTACTCAGCAGAAACCATGCAGGCAAGAAGGTAACAGGATGACATATACAAAGCCTTGAAGGAAAAAAATTGCCAGCCAAGACTTATATATCAAGCAAAATTGTCTCTCAAACATGATGATGAAATTAGGGCATTTCCAGACAAACAGAAGTTTAGGGAATTTGTAAAAAACAAATCAAAAGTACAAGAACTACTAAAGGGAGTCCTCCGGTTAGAAAATCAATAACATCAGATAACAACTGAAGACTAGAACACAGGACAGAACAACCAGATATTAACTCAGATAGAGAAGTTACAAAAATAAATGCAAAGCTAAAACACTGAAAATAGGGAAACAAAGACATCAATATGTAAAAGATGACAACATTAAAAGAAAAAAGAGGGACTAAACAATGCAGTCATAGAACTTTCATATGGAGAAGAGTCAAGGCAAATAAAGAATTAAAAGATTGGTTTAAACTTAGAAAAATAGAAGTAAATATTAAGGCAACCACAAAGGAAACTAACAATCCTACAAGTCAAAATAAAAAACAGGCAAAATGTAAAGATTCAGAGAATATAAAATCAAGAACAATGAAAAGGATGAAACGAAAACACATAAAGAAAAACGATTAAGCAAAGAAATTTAAATGAAACAAAGAAACTCAACAACACAAAAAAAAGACATCAAAATGACAGCACTAAACTCATACCTATCAATAATTATGCTGAATGTAAATGAAATAAATGCACCAATAAAGAGACAGAGAGTGGTAGAATGGATAAAAAAAAAACACAATCTGTCTATATGCCGCCTACAAGAGACACACCTTAGACTTAAACACACAAACTAAAACTCAAAGGATGGAAAAAATATATTAAGCAAATAATCAAAAAGAGTAGGATTGGCAATATTAATCTCTGACAAAATAGACTTTAAAGTAAAATCAACCAAAAGGATAAGGAAGAACACTATATAATGATAAAAAGGGTCAATACACCAGGAGGACATAAACATAATAAATATTTACACACTCAATGACAGGGCTCCAAAATACATACAACAAACTCTAACAACATTGAAAAGGGAAATAGATAGTGCCGTAATAACACTAGGAGACTTCAACACACTACTTTCGGTGAAGCACACAACATCCAGAAAGCTCAAGAAAGACATGGAAGATCTAAATGCCACTATCAACCATCTTGATCTCATAGACATATAAAGAACACTCCATCCAACAGCAGCCAAGTATACTTTCTTTTCCAACACACATGGAACATTCTCCAGAACAGACCACATATCAGGCCATAAATCAAGCCTTAACAGAATCCAAAGCAGCGAAATATTACAAAGCGTCTTCTCGGACCATAAAGACATAAAAGTAGAAATCAGTAACAGAAAAAGCAAAGAAAAAAAATCAAATACATGGAAACTGAACAACACCTTGCTCAAAAACTACTGGGATACAGCTCCTGGTGTACCGATCCTTT